CTCTTGTGAGCTTCAAGTTGTTATAATGTTGTTCCCTCCTCAGAAACACACCTGGAGTTGTGTTTTGTTTCATTCATCCATGTTTGAGTAATCCTGCATTATTAGTCCGTCTACATCTCCAAAGCTCAAAATGCTCTCTTCTAGCTTGTGATGTCATGAAGTGGTAGTTTTCATGTGAACAGCTCCTTTTACCTTGAGTTCAGTAGAGATTGATCCTAGTGAAGGTGTATAGAGTTTAAAACAGTGGAGCACTTCCTGCGCTATCACATGACATCACAAGTGTTTTTAGATGGACAGAAGAACTCGTGCTAAATGTGCAGAGTTTGTGTGTTAAACATGAGTGAAAGAAACAAAACTCTAGGTGAGTTTGTGAAGAGGAAACTCCAATACAACGTAGAGCAGAAAATAATGTCATATAGGCCCTTTAAATCAGACCTATTGTGCAAAATGAACTTTTCAGAGCTCTCAGAGGCTTTTACCATGTTATATTAGTTTCTTTTTTATTAATTGTTTGAATCATCTTTATACTTGTCAGTGGTTGAATATTTTAAAGTACACATAGTAAAGTACTGTATGTAAGAACCAGTTTAAGGTACCTGTGCTGTGATGCTTTCACTGTTACTAGTGATGTAGTGATTCAAGACTGGTATCCAGTGTTGGGGAGTAACAGATTACATGTACCAGAGTTACGTAATCAGAGTACAAATTATGAGTAACTGTATTCAGTTACAGTTACTGTTTAAGTGAGGGGTAATTAGATTACAGTTACTTTGTTGAAATAAATGGATTACACAGCAGTATTTTCCTGTTTTCACTTTTTTTTTTTTTTTTTTTTTTTTTTGGTAATTCCATTCTCATTCTCATTGCCGGACACTAAACCAGGTCTAAACCAGGTCTAAACTGGGCCAAACCAGGTCTAAACCAGGATTAAAACCATGTCTAAACTATGTATCAAACAGGATTTAACAGGACTAAACCATTAAACCACTAAACTAGTTTAGACACGTGGACCGTGTCTAAACTAGGACTAAACCATGACTAAACCAGGACTAAAACCAGGTCTAAACCAGGTCTAAACCAGGTCTAAAATCAGGTCTAAATCAGGGCCAAACCAGATCCAAACCAGGACTAAAACCAGGACTAAAACCAGGACTAAAACCAGGACTAAAACCAGGACTAAAACCAGGTCTAAACCAGGTCTAAACCAGGTCTAAAATCAGGTCTAAATCAGGGCCAAACCAGATCCAAACCAGGACTAAAACCAGGACTAAAACCAGGACTAAAACCAGGACTAAAACCAGGACTAAAACCAGGTCTAAACCAGGATTAAAACCATGTCTAAACTATGTCTCAAACAGGATTTAACAGGACTAAATCATGCTGCATGAACCATGTCTCCTCTTCTTCTATCAATACTATTTTTAATTTGATTCAGTAAAGTCTGGACTTTTTTTTAAATTTTCTTTTAGCAGATAAAACATCTTATGTGAAGATTTCCTAGTCTTTGTTTCTCTACAGCAAATCAAGTAATCCAAAGTATTCAGATTACGTTACTCAAGTAATTTAATGGATTCCGTTACAGACTACAATTTGGGGTATGTAATCTGTAATCTGTAGGGGAATACATTTTAAAAGTCACCTTCCCAACACTGCTGGTATCAGATATCAGCACTGATACTGAAAAATGACACGCTCCATAAAAATACAAAGTCATGATATAAAACTGTACAGAACAACTTGACAAATCTGATGTGATGTGCAGTAGTTTCATTAGCGGGATGCACGCTGATTGTGTTGTGATAGTTCTCTGAAGGGGGAGTGACTTAGTGCTGGGAGCAAAGGCAGGGAAGACTCGTAGCGCAAAAAAATGAAAGTGAAACTTATAAAACATGTTAATGAGTTGTTGTTGTTGTTGTGCATTTTGAGTCCTTTATTATTGTTCACAAAGAATAAAAAGGTAGAGCATAACACAGTGGAGTCATGTCCCTGAAAACCTGACTGGACGTGCATGGGACCAGCGAACGTCCAAACATGTGGACATGATCAACGCCCCAGCCAAACACAGACGAACCCCGAGAATGTGCTCCAGGAGGAAGAGGTGGAAGAGGAGGGCAGTAGGGTGAAAAAGGCAAAGCTTTAGTAACTTATTTTCAGAATACTTTTCTAGCAGCAGGCGTTTATTTGAGTAATAGTTTTACTGAAGTAACAGTAGTCTTAAATTTTTTTCAAAAGGAACGCTTCCTGGACATCCCGAGGGCTCAGTCTGTATGAAATCAGCCATTTTCAAGGAATCTCCTTGTGAATCTCCCTATGAGCCATCTCAGATTTGGCTGAAAAAAAATCTAGAAATTTCTAAAATCACCAAATGAAAGAATCTCAAATTTTAGCTCAATTCTAGAGTTGTTCCTGAGTTATGGCCCGTTGGCCATGCTCACTTTTTCTATAGCCTTAATTTATAAACATGTTTGAGAGACCAGAACTTCATCAAAAATAGAGCTAGGAAGCTGAAATTGTATTATTGTCGATACAAACTAACTGTTGAACCTGAATATTTGAGAGAATGACCATTTCTGACAACAATCTCACACTTTTCTGAGCTTTCATGTGGATGGTGTAGAGTCTCAAATATGGACACAGACCAAATGTGATCTTTTTGGCTCCTTCTTTGGAGCCTCGGTTCCTCATGTGGCACTTTGAAACTTTGGCAGATTCTGATGAGTTTAAAGTAATAAAAACATCTACTATTAACTTCCTTCATTTCAAACTGATTTTTAGAAAAATGAGCTCTCATGGGTCATTTTTGGTGGAGCTTTGGGACTTTTCCACTTTATAGAAAGATTAAATTATCTTTAATAGACTTAAACACTATTTGCTTGTTATAAGGGAAGACAGTTGGAGATTATTTGTGGTACATTGTTTGGAAAAGTGTCATTAATCCTTTGAGAAAATTCAACTATTAACTCTGTACAAAATTATGAAAAAAGGTTTGTTTGCATTATTTATTCTATTTTTATTTGAGAAAGATAATTAGTTATCTCACAAAGAAACAGCTTTTCATGGTGTATGAGTAAAGCAACAAAAGTTAAGATAGTATTGATGGAAACTGATCAAAGGCAAATTACAATTGTAAAACTCTGCCTGTTAAATCACAAACTCTCTGATTCTATAACCATGACTTTCAGTATCACCATATGTGTATTTATATATTTTTGCACAAAAATATTACAAGCAGGCAGTAACATTAAGAAGGAAAAATTTGATACTGACACAAAAGTTACCAAAATACAACAATCTGTACAACTGTTATTTGTTCAACTGCTAGAAATGACATTTAAAAAATTCAATGTGAAAAACAACCTCAGTATAAAATACCAACATACTGGACAAATCTGCCCATTCTGGTCCCTTTACCACCTCCATGTAGATCATGTGTGTTTGTATCTTGCACACTAAGTGTTCCTGACTCCTAATGAACTTCAGAAGTCATGTTTGGATCCTGTCATAATCTGCAGGGTCAAGGTGACAGTTTTATGCTCTTCTTCTTCTGGAACTTTAATACAACAGATTCTGTGCTGAAACAGGACAGAACATGGTTCTGTTGATGTTCAGGAGGACACATGATGGTTCTGTCGTCTCCATTCATGAATCTCACATAGACATCACCATGTTCATCTGAACACTCTGAAACATTCCCAATGAACCACCTGATGTCATAAATACATGCATGTACTGACCTGCTGGTACAAGAGACAAATCTGACACAATCTCATTTTGTATTTCACAAACTGACACTTCAGAACATAAATTATCTTGAGATATTCTCATTTCTAATTTACCATTTACAGAGGAATAAAACTGTGGTGTGATCTAGAACCATTCACAGTCTTTGTCTTGCTGTAGCTCTTCTAGTTTGGTAATACGTTCATGGTTTGTAATGACTTTAGAGCTTGTAAAGAAAAATTTTACATTCTTTATGTTTTGTGAGGCTCACTCAAACATCTGGAGTGAGGTCAATATTTGATTGCTGTCAGTTGTCTGAAGACTGGTCCTTGCAGCCAAGTGTTTTACTGTGCCACCAAAACCATCACAAACAATGTACCACAAATAATGTCCAATTGTTTTAACTTATAACAAGCAAATAGTGTTTAAGTCTATTAAAGATAACTGAACCTTTCTATCAGGTGGAAAAGTGCCTAAACTCCACCAAAAATGACCATGAGAGTTCATTTTCAAAAATTCCATTTGAAATGAACAAAGTTAATAGTAGATGTTTTTATTACTTTAAACTAATCAGAATATACCAAAGTTTCTCTGGTAAAAATTTGATCAACATCTAACGGTGCCACATGGGGAACCAAGGGTCCAAAGAAGGGGACAAAAAGATCACATTTGGTCTGTGACCAGATTTGAGACTCTACACCATCCACATGAAAACTCAGAAAAGTGTGAGATTGTTGTCAGAAATGGTCATTCTCTCAAATATTCAGGTTCAACAGTTAGTTTGTAAATATCTACTTGGAGTAAATAGATCTTGGACCTCAAAAAGTTAAAAAAATAAAAATAAAAAAAAGCGGCAACCAAATGTGACATTTTGGGGCCCACAGCCCCCTTAATAAAGACACACAATATTTGACAACAGATTTAGAATCTATGACCAGGAATCTACAATAATACAATTTTTCAGCTTCCTAGCTCTATTTTTATGAAGTTCTGGTCTCTCAAACATGTTTATAAATTAAGGCTTCTGAAAAAGTGAGCATGGACCATAAAATTTCAACAGGCCATAATTCGGGAGCAACTCAAGGGATTGAGCTAAAATGTGAGATTCTCTCATTTGGTGATTTTAGAAATGTTTTTCAGCCAAATCTGTGATGGCTCATAGGGGAGGGTGGCTGATTTCACATGCACTGACCCAGAGGACAATACACAGTATATAGAACACAATGGTGCTCTTTGGGGAAGTCAATTTAAAGATGCAAAAAACCCAAGGCACTCACTGGTTCAAATAAAACGTCTTTATTAATTTATGGCATGTCTTAATGGACAACTTACAAAGTCCCAACGCGTTTCAGCGTTTTGCATCTTTAACAGTCCTCTTACTTGAATAAAAGTTGTGGTTCCTATTCCCAATGTAAGTCTATATTCCAAAAACTTTATGTCGACAATAAGACATGTAAACATAGTGAGCATGTCTCAGTGGGGCTGGTTTCTGTCGCTGGATGACTTTGAATAACTTTCTTTCTCAGTATTCTCAGTCTTGAAACTTGATAGCTCCTTCAAAGCCGTGGTAGGTGAAGGGTTCCATTCCCGGGGCACAGGTCTCTTGGGCCAGACAGGCCATGCGGTTGGTGTCACAGCTGCTCTCGGAGCCGGGGCCCAGGTACACGCTGTCAGGAGAGTCAATGGACGGGTCCTCGTTAAAGTAGTTATGGGGCCGCAGCAGGACTCCACCCCCGCTTCCCACGGTAACAGTGTTAGGGATGTCCTCTGCATGAGGGATGTGGAGGAAACCAGCCGTCACCCAGGCAACCAGGTCCTGGACAGAAAACAATTACAGGAAAAGTTTAGACTTGTTTAATAATGTTATGTTTTATTCATTCATTAATACTGCCCGATTTTATAGAGTTCATGTATGCAGACTTATAAGTGCAGTTACATGAATTCTTTAAAGAGGGAGTTGTTTTTAGAGATTATGCTAAATCAACTTTTTGGAGTTTTCTATCATGTGCTCACATTGTTCCTCCTTATGGTTAGCTGTGAGATTCTGTACACTGCTGTTAGGTTTATGGCACTCTCTGAAGGAGGGGCTCAGAGCATCAAAAATTAAACTTTAACTTATGTTGTTAATACGTTGCTTTGGACAAACATAATTTTTTCACAATAGTAAAAGGTAACATGGTGATCTAAATATGTTATCTGTTAGCAGTTAGAAGTCCCCTCTTTTAAGGATTATTTTAATTTCATAAGAAGGTGAAATCCAGACAGTTGTTGGTGTGAGACCATCAAATGAAGTAACTGAGGAAGTGATACAATGGACTTTGAGAGATCAAGAGTCAGAGTAGTGGTGGAGATGGGCTCAGACTGGTCGCCATGACGACAAACCTGGTTGAGGATGTTTTCGTTGTCCTGGATAAAAGTGCTGAAGTCCACCGCTGGACTCCACATGTTGTTCTGACTGTAGAGGCTGCTGCTGGTCTGCTCCTGGTCCTTGTGTTTGGTGATGGACACTTTGTATCTGGCAACACACAGAACAATGTAAACTTATGACATCTTTGTGAAGTGAGATACAAACTGATCTACTGCCACATGTGTTGTGGTGCTGGGTGTCAGGAGGAACAGTCAGGGTGCACAGACTGCCTCCTCCACACATGAGACGCCCTATCACTGTAGCACACACTCGCCCTTATCTAAGGCCCAGATAGAGAAGACTGTGGGGCTCAACCAACCTCTGACATGTGTGTGGACATGCAGCACTATGGACCAAGATCTCTCTATACTGTGTATACTGCACATACATCTGTGTATACTGTATACTGCATATATATCTGTGTATACTGCACATATATCTGTGTATACTGTATACTGCACATATATCTGTGTATACTGTATACTGCACATATATCTGTGTATACTGCACATATATCTGTGTATACTGTATACTGCACATATATCTGTGTATACTGTATACTGCACATATATCTGTGTATACTGCACATATATCTGTGTATACTGCATACTGCACATATATCTGTGCCAGGGGTCTCCAATTAAATTTCCCTGAGGGCCAAAATATTTCCACTTTGCAAAACTGGGGTCCACAAAACATCTTTTTAGTTTTAGTTTTATTTGCCAAAATACAACAGTAAAATCAACAACTGATCAACAATAATAAACTCCACAACATCTAACTAAAAACTTCATTTATCCAAAGCACACAATGTTTCTTCTTTCATTACCACAGCATTTGCTGGAAAATCTTAAATTGTGTAAAGAAGATTAAAACAATCCCACATCAGAAATGCACTGTAAACAGAACTAATGAAAAATATCTCTTTACACAATGATGTGCCCCCTGCTGTCATAGTCCTAGGGCTTTCCTGCTTCCACAAAGTCCCAGAACACAGAGATGCAGCAGTGGCATTCTCTTGAGCAGAGGTCCATTTACTAAGGCTGCACACTGACTGACTGTATGATGCTGTCATATTTGATATGCACTTCTCAGATTTTTCTGGGTAACTGGCATTAAAACTAGCAGCGTGAGAAGTGTTGAAATGCTGCTTAAGATTTTCTAGTCTGCAAACAAATCAAACAAGTAGGGTTACCATGCTCAGGCAAAATAAAACAAAACTCCTCTGTCCATTCACACTTGAACTGGCTTTTTGCTGTCCACTTTCCATTTCTTAGAGAGCCATTCTGCTTGTCTACATTAGCATCATGTGTCTGCAGTCGAGCCTATGGGTTGAGCTAGTCAATAAAAGAGCGGGCACAATGTCAAGCGAGGGATCACAAATCCCTCGCCTGACAGACTAAATAAAAGCCTAATAATTAATCAAACAAGCATGGGGATGGTAGGTATAATAGGTACAATCCACACAACCGTTTTATGCACACAATGTCTCAATCTTATAATGCCCCATGATCAGCTGCAACAAACACACTACTACTTGACCAATGGCAATATGACAGAGTAACTACATAACTTATTGAACTGAAAGAAGTGTCTCATTATGTAACAGTAGTACTACTTCATTACTGTATTGCCTCGTAGGGTTTCTTACTCCATTCAGACAAACAGCAGTCCTCTTCTTAGCCAAGACGGTCCTTGTCTTTCCCATCAGAATAACTGCACGCTAAATTTGTGTCGGTCTCCTTCTCTCCTCCTTTAAATTCTAGCACTCTGTGAAACGTGAGGCTTAAGTCACATGATCAAACTGACACGTTTTGTTTGTTAAGTAAGTCAATTTCTTTCTAAAATGTAATTAATTAAAAATGTAAAACATGTATTTATTATTTGTATGGTGTAAATGTGTTGAATGTGTTTCAAATGCAAGACAAACAAATATAAAAAGAATTTCCACTTGCTCCCTGCATGCATGTTTAATGTTTAAATGTTTGGTTTAACAAAATGCACTGACTGTATGCCAAGAGAGAGAATAATATACACTCATATTAACCAATGGACGGTGTTAGATATTATACACCCCGAGTGAAGAGGGAGTTTGGCCCTGAGTTACGTTGGTAGATTATGTATCTGATTTGCCCCATTCAGATTGGGGTAGGGGGCTCATGGGCCGGTCCAGATCTCCTCGGGGTCCTGGGTTGGCCTGTATATTAGAGACCCAGGCTCCATACTGTGTGTATATCTGTATATACTGTATACTATGTATGTAAATATTGTATACTTTGTGTGTATATAGTGTATACTATGTATGTATATACTGTATACTGTGTATGTATATACTGTATATTATATGTGTATACAGTGGGTACAGAAAGTATTCAAACCCCCTTAAATTTTTCACTCTTTGTTATATTGCAGCCATTTGCTAAAATCATTTAAGTTCATTTTTTTCCTCATTAATGTAAAAACGGCACTGCATATTGACAGAGAAACACAAAATTATTGAAATGTTTGCAGATTTATTAAAAAAACAAAACTGAAATATCACACAGCCATAAGTATTTAGACCCTTTGTTCAGTATTTAGTAGGGCTCTGACTGGACCATTCTAGAACAGTCATGGAGTTGTCCTGAAACTACTCCTTCATTATTTTAGCTGTGTGCTTAGGGTCATTGTCTTGTTAGAAGATGAACCTTCAGCTCAGTCTGAGGTCCTGAGCACTCTGGAGAAGGTTTTTCTCCTGGATATCCCTGTACTTGGCCACATTCATCTTTCCTTCGATTGTAACCAGTCGTCCTGCCCCTGCAGCTGAAAAAAAAACCCACAGCCTGATGCTGCCACCACCAAACTTCACTGGGACTGTACTGGACAGGTGATGAGCAGTGCCTGCTTTTCTACACACATACCACTAAGGATTAAAGCCAAAAACTTCTATCTTGGTCTCATCAGACCAGAGAATCTCATTTCTCATCATCTTGGAGACCTTCAGGTGTTTTTTATCAAACTCCATGTGGGCTTTCATGTGTCTTGCACTGAGGAGAAGTTTCTGTCAGGCCCCTCTGCCATAAAGCCCCGACTGGTGGAAGGCTGCAGTGATGGTTGACTTTCTAGAACTTTCTCCTATCTCCCGACTGCATCTCTGGAGCTCAGCCACAGTAATCTTTGGGTTCTTCTTTACCTCTCTCCACAAGGCTCTTCTCTCCTGATTGCTCAGTTTAGTCAGAAGGCCAGCTCGAGGAAGAGTTCTGGTCATCCCAAACTTCTTCCATTTAAGGATTATGGAGGCCACTGTGCTCTTAGGAACCTTAAGTGCAGCAGAAACTTTTTGTAACCTTGGCCAGATCTGTGCCTTGCCACAGTTCTGTCCGTGAGCTCTTCTTCAGGCAGTTCCTTTGACCTCATGATTGTCATTTGCTCTGATGTGCACTGTGAGCTGTGAGGTCTTCTACAGACAGGTGTGTGGCCTTCCTAAACAAGTCCAGTCAGTTTGATCCAACACAGCAGGACTCCAGTGAAGGTGTAGAACCATCTCAAGGATGATCAGAAGAAATGGACAGCACCTGAGTTAAATATGTGAGGGTCACAGCAAAGGCTCTGAATACTTATGGATGTGTGATATTTCAGTTTTTCTTTTTTAATAAATATGCAAACATTTCAACAATTTTGTGTTTCTCTGTCAATATGCAGTGCCGTTTGTACATTAATGAGGAAAAAATGAACTTAAATGATTTTAGCAAATGGCTGCAATATAACAAAGAGTGAAAAATTTAAGGGGGTCTGAATACTTTCCGTACCCACTGTATACTGTATACTATGTATGTACATACTGTATACTGTGTGTGTATATCTGTATATACTGTATACTATGTATGTACATACTGTATACTGTGTATGTATATACTGTATACTATGTATGTATATACTGTGTATGTATATACTGTATACTATGTATGTACATACTGTATACTGTGTATGTATATACTGTATACTATGTATGTATATACTGTATACTGTGTGTGTATATACTGTATACTGTGTGTGTATAGCTGTATATATGTAACTGGTGAATGAAAAATGCATTCTTTTTATATCTGACATGGGTTATACAACAAAAAGTGCACACCACAGACATGAGGAAAATCTGAGACTTAAAATCTCCAATTGCAAAGACTGCAGTGGGATCTGTGTGTGGACAACAGGATACAAAGGTGTGAGCGCACCTGCATCAGCTCTTTCCTGTCTGTTTCCTGTCTGTTTCCTGTCTGTTTCCTGTCTGTTTCCTGTCTGTTTCCTGTCTGTTTCCTGTCCGTTTCCTGTCCGTTTCCTGTCCGTTTCCTGTTGCTCTGAGACTCTGAAGTGTTCAAAAGATCAGAGCACTACATCTCTAGTTTAGATGAAAGACAAAACTGTGTTATTGTTAAATGTGGTGCAAAACTTCAGATACATGATTTTTAATGGACAAAAGATTGGAGTAGAGTCACTCTGGAGAATCTGCAGCTTCAGCTCCGTGCGCTGTGTGGATGTAAATACAGTAGACACACTGGAGGAAGTACTCTCGCCTTTTTACTTTCAAATAACACTTCAAACTGGATTCACAGCCCAGACGTTTTGTGGACTGGACTCATTATTTGTGGAGGACAAATTCTATGGATAATGTGGATGAGATGCTACAGATTAAATGTACTAAACTCTCTTCTCAGTATTTTCACTGTTTGTTTCTTGTGTCTCTGTGTCCATCACTCCTCTGCTCCTGACACTCTGTTTTATTGTCTGTTATCATAGTGTTGCCAATGTTTGGTAGTTCTGATCTGACAGTGACACCATACACGAGGATCACACACGCACACACACACACAAAGAGTGTGTGGGGGCCTTAAGGCAGTTATTGTTTGTGATTTTAAAGCCATTAAATGAGGGCCGTCTGCTCAGCCTCAACCACCATCCAGAGTCCTGTTGTCCTGTTCATAGCGAAGACCAGAGGTATTCAACAAACATTTGAGGAGGTCCGGTTAGAGAAAATCTCCTCCAGCAGAGGTCCGGGACATCAGAATATCTGACCTGTGTAATGATCCTATGAGTGTCTGAATGTATGAACAATAGACGTCAAATCAACCAAAGTACAAGTTAAACACATTTCAACAAAATGTGTTAACACTGAAGCACAGAGAAGGCCTACATTAGATACATTAGATACAGGACTGCAGTTGAAAATGAATTAGAGAAAATAAAATGGCTAAACTGTACATTTTAAAACAAAAAAGCAACAGCTTGAGTTTCCCTTTTTCTTCATCTTTTACATCTCAGCTTAACCGTCTCAATACATTTTTCAACAGATTTCTCAAAACCTCGTTCTTCTGTCTGTGTCTGCATTCAGAGGCACCTTGAATGCACAGCTTTGATCAGCTCAGTAGCATCATGATTAGTTTGTATGTTCCTTGGTCCATTAATTTTGTGTAGTTTTTAAAGTAAATATAACCAGGATATAGTATGAAATGTGCTTTTTCTCTAGTGACACATGAGAATATGAAGACAAGCTCTCGCCTCAGTTGAGTGCACTGACCTGGCCCAGGACATGGATCTCTCCTCAGGCTGGCTCTCAGGGAGGTGGTCCCCGGCGAAGCTGTACACCTGCAGCCTGTAGGAGCGTGGGTGGCCCCAGCGGTTGGTCTGGTTACTGGAGATGTGCAGGTACCGTGGAGTCTTCGAGCCGTGACGCAGAGCAGCCTCCTGTGAAGAGGGGAGAGGAGAGAGTCAAGACTCCAACAACAAGGGCCTGTGACCATGACCACAAGGACAGTAGTGGTCCATGTGGCACCACAGGAGAGTATTGTTCATTTAGTGCTGTTAACGGAGTACCTGTTCAGTGTGCACAGTCTTCTCCACCAGGTGAGGGACCATGGCGTGGTGCTCGGGTACCCAGGGCAGAGATATGTTCTTGTACTCCATGTCTTTGGTCTGGAACATGTTCTTCACTCCTGAAATGTACAGAGAATTATGGCCCGTCTTTATTCAAACACGTTTGTGATTGGTCTAAAGTCTGACGTCATTCACCTGCGACGTCCAGGTCAGCTTTGAAGTTGATGAAGTGCGTGTGTATGTTCCCGAGCACGTTTGGCGCCACCTGGTGCCCGTGTTTGAGATTGCCCTGCACGAGGAAGGAGGACGTGATGTATCCTGTCGCGTGCACCTTGGCCTCCACTGCGCCATTTTGGTAGAAAATGAAATCCCATAAATAATCGTAATTTGCTATGGCGGTGATGGTCCTGACAACAAGCGCAGTACTCGGCATTCCGCCGTAACTGTTGTGGAAGAAGTCCGCAAAGTGTCTGCGCAGAGGCTGGCCCAGGTACAGCTCGAAGATACAGATGGAGTTCCGAAAGCGCATGGGCTGTGACACGTCTATGTACCTGTACGTGTCCACGTACGTAGCCTCATATGGACAGTCCACGCCGCGCACGAGCTCATGCGCAAAACGCCCGATGCCGATACTGGAATCCAGGAACTTAGTCATTGCTAGACCAGGAGTCACTGAGCCGTACACGGTCATGGCCTCCTGCACGCTCAGCTCATAAAGGATGCGCTCGTTTCTGAAGCGCACGTCGAACACGCGCATGCCAGTGAGCGAGCTGAGCCCGAAGGCAAAGCTCCAGTCCATGTACAGCACGTGGTTGTGGCTCACGCTGTAGCGCGCGCCCTCGGGGCTCACGAGCTGCGGTCCGAGCTGCAGGGATTTGGTCCGGGGCTTCAGGGAGCCGTAGTCCTTCGGTGGTTCATACACAATCTTCTTCACGGTGCCCGCGCTGTACGCGTCCCGCAGCTCGTCCACTGACGCAAAGTACTGACCGTTGTAAAAGAGGCGCTCCACGCGCCACTGTGACGTATTGATGCTCTGGTGGTTCACGAGCACCTCAAAGCCCACGGGCTGGATGTAGAATCCACTCAGGTCACGGAAAAACGAGATCCAAGTCTTGCGCTCTCCCGCGCGTAAACCGCGCGGCATCGCCTCAAAGCCTTTCAGTTTGTAGTCATCATTTACCCCGAAGCTCTCCCGCAGGAGCGCGCTCAGGGGCGCGTTAACCCTCTCCTCCAGAAACTTGAACAGAATAATGTACTCTCCAACGGTGACAGTGCGCGCGCTCAGCGGCAGCTCGGTGCCGTAGCGCTCACGCGTCACGTCGCGGTGGGAGTTGGGGTTGGGCAGTGGTCCCACCGCATACTCTTTAATGTAGCCCTTGGTTCCGTAGAAGACCACTACTGTCGCCTCTCTGCGCGGTGCGGGGCCGCGCGCGTCCAGGTACTCCAGAACCTCGGCCTTTCGTGGCACGCGCAGGTCAATGAGGAAAAGAAAGTTCTCATCCGGTCTCGTGCCCTGGCGCGTGGAGATGTTCAGGTCCTTCTGTCGGAGCATGTACTCCTGGACCTGCGCGTACTCGTCCCGGCTCAGGTCCGCGAACACGCCACTGCGCTTGTCATGTTTCCCCCGCGGCTCATGTTTACTCCGGGCCGAGCACGTGGGAGTCCCGCGGGAGTAGACCACGATCAGAACGAGGTTGAGGAGCACAGAGACGAGCACGAGCAGCCCCACGCACCATTTCACGAGAGAGTTCATCTTTCAGAAGTGAGGCATGTGTACCGGGATGTGTAAAGTTTGTCCTCACTTTATTACGCGGACCTCCGCCCTCCCAGTGCGCGCGCCCTGAGCGGACGCTCATCTGGATTCACTCAAAACATGACCCCATTTCAAACTCACAGCTCACAGAACACAAGACAAACTGTGATGCACTCAAAATATTCAACTCATGACAAACACATGGCGCCACTCTGCGTGTCTGACACGTGTCTCTGCTCTGAGTGACAACAGAATTAAAGTGTTGGTTCTGACAATGGTCACATCTAATCTGGATTAATCCTGTTAATTATAAAAGACTAGAGTGAAATACCACCATGAAGACTTCTGTATGCTGTGTACTGTGCATATACTGAAAAGTACAAGTTGAAACCTGAAAAAGTTGAAAGAAAACACACGTGATTTTATGGAGCTGAGTATTTTGTTGTTGTTGTTGTTGTTTTTCATAGGAACAGACTTCATTAAACATCTCAGCCTCATGTTGGTGCTTCTCCACAGGCACATGTGCATACACTTACACATACACTTACCCAGAGTCAAATAAAGTGTAAAATCATGCACACATCAATAATCATGTGTATGAAAACACAAATGTAAGAGATTTAAAGAGAAGAAGTGAATCAGCTGGTCTCGTGCACACTGCAGCTCAGACCATTCAGGCATTTCAAGACAAATAACAAGTACAAGTATTTCAAATCCCCTCAGAGGCAGCAGGGAGCCAGTGAAGGGCAGAGATGTGCCAACTGAATTGCCCTTTGGGATAGATAAAGTTGTTGATTGATTGATTGATTGATCAATTGATCAATTGAAAGCCTGGGCATATTGTCATGTACCTGTTGGGACATTCTGTGTTCTAATGCTGAAGGACATACATTTGTCTGTCATGTCATGCTCTCAGGAAACACGTATGATATAAAATAAGAAGTGACCCAGGAGGAGAGGTGTAGATGTACCTGACATTATATTCTATGTCATGCAATACAGGAGTTTTCACTGTTAAGTGATTTTTAATTATTATTATTAAAATCCCTGATCTTTGCAGACTGCAGTGGGATCTGTGTGCGGACAACAGGATATAAATCTGTGAGGCTGTGATGGCGTCAGCTGTTTCCTGTCTCCAGTAAAACCAGTCGCTCTGAGACTCTCAGGTGTTCAAAGATCAGACTCTGCACGTGTAGTTTTGATCCAAGTCAAAAGTGTGTTGTTATTATTTGTGTTATTATTTGTTCAGATAGAGGATTTTTAAAGCATAAAAGATTAGAGATAAAGTGGGGAAGTAGAGTCACTGTGGAGAACCAAACTCACCTTTTTACTTTTATAAAGAACACCTCAAACTGGATTCACAGCCCAGACGTTTTGTGGACTGAGGGTCATGATTTGTGAAGGACAAATTCTATGGATAATGTAGATGAGACGCTGCAGTTTAAATGTACAACTTTATGTGAGGTGAGGAATAATCACACACACACACACACACACACACACACACGCACACACACGAGGAGTGCAGCAGCTTCAAAATTGTACAGGAAGAGTTGGGTCACACCTCCTCAAACTCGAGGAGAAGCAAATCACAGCTAAATTCTCTTGAAGTGTGAGGCGACTTTAAGACTAAGACACGTCCTGTGCAACAATTCATCAGCTGAAAGGCCCATGGGTCAGTCTGTATGAAATCAGCCGTTTTCAAGAAATCTCCCCTATGAGTCATCACAGATTTGGCTGATATATATAATTTTTTTTTAATTTCTAAAATCACCAAATGAAATTATGTCAAATTTTAGCTCAATCCCTTGAGTCATTAGTATTCATCTACCATATGTATTATTGTAGCTTCTTGGTCATAGATTCTGAATCTGTTGTCAAATATTGTGAGTCTTTTTTAAGTGGGGCGCTGTGGCCCCCAAAATCTCACATTTGGTTGCCGCTCAATAATTTTTTCAATTTTTGAGGTCCAAGATCTATTTACTCCAAGCAGATATTTACAAACTAACTGCTGAACCTGAATATTTGAGAGAATGACCATTTCTGACAACAATCTCACACTTTTCTGAGCTTTCATGTGGATGGTGTAGAGTCTCAAATATGGACACAGACCAAATGTGATCTTTTTGGCTCCTTCTTTGGAGCCTCGGTTCCTTATGTGGCACTTTGAAACTTTGGCAGATTCTGATGAGTTTAAAGTAATAAAAACATCTGCTATTAACTTCCTTCATTTCAAACTGATTTTTAGAAAAATGAGCTCTCACAGGTCATTTTTGGTGGAGCTTTGGGACTTTTCCACTTTATAGAAAGATTAAATTATCTTTAATAGACTTAAACACTATTTGCTTGTTATAAGGGAAAACAGTTGGAGATTATTTGTGGTACATTGTTTGGAAAAGTGTCATTAATCCTTTGAGAAAATTCAACTATTAACTCTGTACAAAATTATGAAAAAAGGTTTGTTTGCATTATTTATTCTATTTTTATTTGAGAAAGATAATTAGTTATCTCACAAAGAAACAGCTTTTCATGGTGTATGAGTAAAGCAACAAAAGTTAAGATAGTATTGATGGAAACTGATCAAAGGCAAATTACAATTGTAAAACTCTGCCTGTTAAATCACAAACTCTCTGATTCTATAACCATGACTTTCAGTATCACCATATGTGTATTTATATATTTTTGCACAAAAATATTACAAGCAGGCAGTAACATTAAGAAGGAAAAATTTGATACTGACACAAAAGTTACCAAAATACAACAATCTGTACAACTGTTATTTGTTCAACTGCTAGAAATGACATTTAAAAAATTCAATGTGAAAAACAACCTCAGTATAAAATACCAACATACTGGACAAATCTGCCCATTCTGGTCCCTTTACCACCTCCATGTAGATCATGTGTGTTTGTATCTTGCACACTAAGTGTTCCTGACTCCTAATGAACTTCAGAAGTCATGTTTGGATCCTGTCATAATCTGCAGGGTCAAGGTGACAGTTTTATGCTCTTCTTCTTCTGGAACTTGAATACAACAGATTCTGTGCTGAAACAGGACAGAACATGGTTCTGTTGATGTTCAGGAGGACACATGATGGTTCTGTCGTCTCCATTCATGAATCTCACATAGACATCACCATGTTCATCTGAACACTCTGAAACATTCCCAATGAACCACCTGATGTCATAAATACATGCATGTACTGACCTGCTGGTACAGTGTCTTCCCTTATAACAAGCAAATAGTGTTTAAGTCTATTAAAGATAACTGAACCTTTCTGCAGGTGGAAAAGTGCCTAAACTCCACCAAAAATGACCCATGACAGATCATATTCAAAAATTCCACAAGTTAATCGTAGATGTTTTTGTTACTTTAAACTAATCAGAATATGTCAAAGTTTCTTTGGTATATACAGAAAAATCCCGCACACCGTCTTACTTGCAAACTGTGAAATTTATTAGGACAAACCGTGCAACGTTTTGGCACTAGGCCTTCGTCAAGCAAACAGAATGAGAGCTCAGGTGGCCATCTTAAATAGGGTGTGGACAGGACACCCTATTTAAGATGCCTGACGAAGGCCTAGTGCCGAAAACGTTGCACGGTTTGTCCTAATAAATTTCACAGTTTGCAAGTAAGACGGTGTGCGGGATTTTTCTGTATGTTCTGGGGCTGCTCCCTCTCCTCCAACGCACCCGTCTCTAGTAGTTGATGTGCGAGGCTCTCATTCTCTCATAAAGTTTCTTTGGTAAAAATCTGATCAACATCTAGCTGTGTTCATATGGGGAACCAAGGGTCCAAAGATGGAGCCAAAAAGATCACATTTGGTCTGTGTCCATATTTGAGACTCTACACCATCCACATGAAAGCTCAGAAAAGTGTGAGATTGTTGTCAGAAATGGTCATTCTCTCAAATATTCAGGTTCAACAGTTAGCTTGTAAATATCTGCTTGGAGTAAATAGATCTTGGCCCTCAAAAAGTAAAAAAGTAATTGAACAGCAACCTACAATAATGTAACTACAATAATGCAAAGTCTCAGCTTCCTAGATGTATTTTTTATGAAGTTCTGGTCTCTCAAACATGTTTATAAATTAAGACTTCCGAAAAAGTGAGCATGATCCCAAAATTTCAACAGGCAATAACTCAGGAATGACTCAGGGGACTGAGCTAAAATTGAGATGCTTTCATTTGGTAATTTTAGAATTTTTTTTGAAAAATTTTCAGCCAAATCTGAGATTGCTCATGGGGGAGGATGGCTGATTTCACATGCACTGACCCCGATGGCTCTGACAAAAGCTAGGAGATAGGAGAGAGGAGAGGAGATAGGACAGAGGAGAGGGGATAGAACAGAGGAGAGGAGATAGGAGAGAGGAGATAAGATAGAAGATAGGAGAGGAGATAGGAGATAGGAAATAGGAGAGAGAAGAGAGGATAGAAGATAGGAGAGGAGATAGGAGAGAGGGGAGGAGATAGGAGAGAGGAGAGGAGATAGGAGAGAGGAGAGGAGATAGGAGAGAGGGGAGGAGATAGGAGAAGAGATAGGAGAGAGGAGATAAGAGAGAGGAGAGGAGATAGGAGATAGGAGAGGCGATAGGAAATAGGAGAGAAGATAAGAGATAGGAGAGGAGAGAGGAGATTAGATAGGAGAGAGGAGAGGAGATAGGACAGAGGAGAGGCGATAGGAGAGAGGAGATAGAAGATAGGAGAGAGGAGATAGGAGATTAGATAGGAGAGAGGAGAGGAGATAGGACAGAGGAGAGGAGATAGAAGATAGTAGACAGGAGATAGGAGAGAAGATAGGAGATAGTGCTGCTCCCTAGTGTGTGTGCACAGTCGGTGCACATGTTCTCACAGTGGAAACATGTCCAGGTCTGCACACACATGTTCATGTGAGTGTTGTCGTCTGTGGGCTGTGGGCTGAGTCAGTGAAAGTTCAGTGTTGCCCTGAGATGTACACAGATTGAATCATTCATTCTTTAATCTTTCCTTCAAATGACATTAACTTCAAATTATAAATAAGATGTTAGAGTTACTACTTACTCACTCTTACTTGATAACAGTGGCGGACCGTGCTTAGGTCTCACACTTAGGCCTTCAGTAGTGCTCCTTCTGAAACAATCCACTCCTCAAGAACTATTTTACGGTTATAAAGGCATCTCATTATACAGGAACACAGTATAAAGAGCCGTGGAGATTCCGTGCACGGAGAGGTGAGGAGCGGGACTAAACAGGAATAAAACAGGTCCAAACCAGTTCTAAACCAGGACTAAACCAGAACTAAACCAGGATGAGTGTTGGGACGGGTCCAGAGGTGTGCCCGCGTAGACCGTTGGTTGACTGCAGCCTAAAGGACTCGTTTAGACCTGGTTTAGACCTGGTTTAGACCTGGTTTAGACCTGGTTTAGTCCAGGTTCAGTCCTGTTCAGTCAGGAATCGTGTACCCCAACTTAAAAAATCCCCACTACACCACTGGTCATTAATAACAGTAATACATAGTAATAATCATTTGGATTGGTGTAGTTGGTGTACTTACATACATAGTTTGCTGTTTTGGCTGGTTTGCTCTCTGACTGTCCAATCACAGGTCTGAACACGGTGATGTCGTACGTCTGTTAGAAGGTCCTGGTGACACCAACTCAAAATCTGATTGGTTGAAGCAGCTGTTTATTTTGTGTTGCAGGGCCTGCAGAAGGGATTGTGAAGGCCTCAGGTACACTGACTCTGCCTGGCAACAGATGACAGCTAAAATGTGATTGGTCAAATGCTTTAATATGAAACTAGGTGTCTGGAAGCAGCACAAGCATTGGAAAAGCTCTGATAGGAAGCAGACAGACCATTTGGAATTATTTAATAATAATATAATTAACATCAGTGTGGGATTCAGATAACCCTGCCACTGCTTGACTAGTAGTTTTCCCAAATACTTTTTCAGTCTTACTTGAGTAATCTCTTGGACACTTCACAGTTTAGTTATCTAGTTTCTTTATTTCATGAGGCTGGGACAGTGCACAATATACAAGAACCTTAACCGGAGAGTAGCACCAGTGCTCATTTCCTCCTGTCCCTGGGCACGTTAATTGATTGATTGTGTTTAACTGATTAAATCTATCAGCTGTTCTTCCTGGAGACCTGTGAAGCATGTTCTGGGTTGACTTTGGCTACTTACTTTTGGGCAATATTATTTTGAAGTAACATTACTCTTACTTGAGTACAGGTTTGGCTACTCTACCCCCCTCTGTATGATACTGCTGCAGTATCTATGCTCTGTCAGCTGATGGCGCTGTTGTTCTTAGTTGTACTTCACTTAAAAGGTAAAGGAAGCTGTGGTTAGTTTAGTTGTATATTAAAAACAGACTTGTCTGCAGGTCTTCTGAAAACACTGCAGAACAGTTGACTGTACATGAACATTATGTATTATGTATGTTCCTGTTCAAAAGTAGTATAGTATAATCACACAGTTCATCAGGTACGCCTCAACAACTGCTTTACCACCTTCTTTAGAGGATTATTGTCATTACAATATAACAATATAGTATTGTGTAATGTAGCAGGACATGCTTTAAATGCCACTCAGGAGACTTTAACATGTCAGAGCCCTAAAAGAAGAAAAGGAAAAAAAAAAAAAAAAAATTCTAAAGAAAACATCAGTGGGAAGTGTAAAGTTGTGCTTTTGCTTCTCTTGTTTTTGTCTCAACACTAACCTCTGTTTAGCTGTACAATTTACAAGAAAAAAAAAGATGAATTATTTGTGATGGACTAGTAGATATATGATGCATAATAGCGTCATTTACATCCTAACATGCCATTTGTGCCACCACTGTGACCGGACCACAGGCTGACCAGAACAACCAGGAGAACAACGACCAGAACAACGACCAGAACAACGACCAGAACAACCAGGAGAACAACGACCAGAACAACGAACAGAACAACCAGGAGAACAATGATGAGAACAACCAAGGAGAACAATGACCAAAGAGACCAGATTTTCAGAGCTTTTAACTTTGTAGAAGTTTCCTTCTTTTTGACCTTCTGAAGATGTATTTAGAGTGATTTGTGCATTTTTGAGTAAACTTTAATCACATATTTCCAAGACTATATTGAGAAATCAGCTGTCACTTTCACCTTCACCGATAATGTAACGTATGTACTTCCTTCTCCAGTTTGATCTTTTTATTTTCTACCAACATCGTGTAGAAATTGATACAAATGAAAAGGTGTAATGAGCAGTTATCAATAGGAGGGGCCCAAAATGATGCTCCAGATTCCTATGTGTATCACAGATTAAGAAAGTAAAATTGAAGAACAAAGTATAGAGCAGTGTGCATGTACTGGTGAGGTGAAAACAGGCATCTACTGTCTTGAAGATAAGTGATTCAAGCTGCACAAAGTACTCCAAATACAGCTACAGGTGAGCAAATGGTGAGGGGAAACAACTAGAACATGGTTAAAAGCTCTGAACTGTGGATTTTACTTTAAGAAGAAACAACAGAGTATTGATTTCAGTGTATCTCAGACGTGTTTCACAGCTCACAGTCTTTGTCGTACTCACAGGCACATCTTCATACACACTCACTGACAGATCCAACAGTAACTGTATTCACAGACACTTTCAGTGGAGGATTACTCACACTAAAGGTTCACAGTGCAACATGAAGGCTCAGAGTCTTACTGTATTTATCTTTGCATTTAGTTAGTTAGTTAGTATCTTAGTTTGATGACGGTCAGGGCTCTTGCTTCACACAAATTCCACCCTCTTGTTAAAGAGCTGTGGGGGGTTAACTGCTAACACACCACATATTCACCATGTTACCTTTTTTGAACATGCTGTATTCACCATCATCGACATATTAATATATTTACTAAGTTTCACTTTCTCTTTGCTCTCTGCACTATGTCTCTCCCCCTTCAGAGCACTATCATAACACAGTCAGTGTGCATCCTGCTAATGAAGTACTAACTCATAAGTCATAAGTACTGAAGTTGGCCAAGTTCTTGTCTACAGTTTTATATCATGTTTTTGAATATTTATGGAGAATTTCAGGAGAGATTGCTAGATTACTCAAACATGCACGGGTGACATCTAAAACCTCGTCAGGCATTGGTTCCCTGTAGCGATGCTCAGTGGGCATCTCTGGACGGCTTACAGTGTGGCGGTGCTTCTGATCTATGTGGGTGGTGCTGGTGATTCCCTTTTGATTTTGGACATTTACAAACGTTACAATATCAAATAAAAGAGTTCACGTTTCTGGACACGTATCACATTCTGTTAGTCTTCAAACTTCATAACGCCCTCAAAGCCGTGGTAGGTGAAGGGTTCCATTTCCGGGGCACAGGTCTCTTGGGCCAGACAGGCCATGCGATTGGTGTCACAGCTGCTCTCGGAGCCGGGGCCCAGGTACACGCTGTCAGGAGAGTCAATGGACGGGTCCTCGTTAAAGTAGTTATGGGGCCGCAGCAGGACTCCGCCCCCGTTTCCCACGGTAACAGTGTTAGGGATGTCCTCTGCATGAGGGATGTGGAGGAAACCAGCCGTCACCCAGGCAACCAGGTCCTGGACAGATACAAAATGATTTACAGTGTTTAATTGTACGCTGTGTGACAGGATCAGTGTCACACTGTCATGTGTAATGTTCAGTGCCGTCTCTGCCACCAGAACTGCAAGCAATGGACTCCAACATTTTGGGTGTCAGCATTTATTGTGGGGACATTTTCTTTGAACTAATGAAGAACTTTTGTTGTTGTTGTTATTTCTCTGTACTAGGATGAGATCTGAGCTGTAGAGGGTTTAATAAATAACTTCTAGAAGTCATTATACAAACAAATGACTAATGTGTTGCATTCCACTATTTATTTACTCCTCTAGTTTTTCACCATATTATACATTTAGAATACTTTTGAGGGGATAATTCTACTTAATAATAATTCTCTCTTGGGTTATTATCCTTTGATGTCTATATTTCCTTTAGTATTATATTGTACTTCAAAATGAGTTTTGGACAGACCTACAGCAGGGAGAATGATAGTGAAGTTTACAGGTGACTCAGAGACATTTACTCATTTACAACATTTACACTGTGCTTCTCAGTAGCTTTTATGTTCAGTCAAATGTCTGAGTGCAGTTTCACAGGAGCACTGGTCAGGGAGGTCAGCAGATCCTGTGTCAGGGCAGTTTGAAGAGAAGAAGAGCTAAAAGTGTCCCTCCTCTGTGTTACACAGCGGGGTTGCCCCGCCTCTCCTCAGCCTCACTCTCCCCCTCATTCTCCCCTTTAGTCCTCCAGACCCCACAGACCTGGTTGAGGATGTTTTCGTTGTCCTGGATAAAAGTGCTGAAGTCCACCGCTGGACTCCACATGTTGTTCTGACTGTAGAGGCTGCTGCTGGTCTGCTCCTGGTCCTTGTGTTTGGTGATGGACACTTTGTATCTGGCAACACACAGAACAATGTAAACTTATGACATCTTTGTGAAGTGAGATACAAACTGATCTACTGCCACATGTGTTGTGGTGCTGGGTGTCAGGAGGAACAGTCAGGGTGCACAGACTGCCTCCTCCACACATGAGACGCCCTATCACTGTAGCACACACTCGCCCTTATCTAAGGCCCAGATAGAGAAGACTGTGGGGCTCAACCAACCTCTGACATGTGTGGAATGAATGAATGAATCGATGAATGAATACAGAAATCTTTTACAGACTTGCACCACTGCAAAGGAGGTTCAGGGGCAGATGGAGAAGCAGCCCCCATGATGATCACAGACGTGGACACAGTGTGGAACAGCATCTTTGTTCTAAGGAGCATGAGAGTTAAGGGAGTCAGTCAGGACGGCCCTGACCTCCCTGACTACACTGTCCATGAACAGTGCCTGAACATGACCTGATGAAGCATGTGTTGAACAGACTTGCATTTGCCAAACAACTGAAGAATTATGAGCAGAAAAGAGTTTCTGTCCTGGACCCCTGATTTAAACAATTGACTTTTAGAGGATTTATGCAGCTCAGCAGTGACTGCCCAACCCTCGGTCCAGGAAGAAAAAATAATAATATAAAAATTCTGAAAGCTCAAAATATTTAATATTTAAATAATATATATTTAAATAATATTATAATCTCAAAATATTTACTGCCAGAAACTGACGATGGGCCTATTAGTATGAAGTAAAGCGATGCTCTAGAAGGTGGGAAGTAGTGACCAGGAACTGTCGCCATGATGTAGCAATGCACCAGAGCTTTCCCAAAGTGCATAGTTTGTTAGCTAAAAAGAAAGTGGCACTTTGTTCTTGTGTCAGAATAAATATTATCTTTCATTCTTCTTTGTTTTTTTTAATTCTATTTTCAATTTTTTTATTTTTTATTTTGTGTAACCAACACACCCATTTTCACCCAGTGAACCATCATGAAAACTCACAAAATGTTGACAACTTCTGTAACTTTTGGCTATTTCCATTTTCCAAAAATAAATAAAATGGCACATCAGAATCATAAAAGTCTGGAAATTTTTGACATTTACAAATTGCTTTCATTAGCTCATATGAACTCGGATTTGAGTGAAATTTGAAACAGCGTTAAACTCTCTGCCCTAAAACTCCTGGATGTGAAAAGAGAAATGAAGTTATACTATCCTGATCCAAAAAGTCAAGGACACCCATTTTACGGTGTCGCCGTAGTGATGACAGAAACTCTCCATGTTAACGGTAAAATCGCCAAATCCCACAGACTTTGGCTGATTTCACTCAAATTTTAATTGTGGGTTCACACCCTGACCCTGAACAGACTGATGTAAGAAAACACAAACATGGGTGCAATAGTGGTCTTGATTTAAAAAAAACCCTCAAAGACGACCACACCCTATTTAAATTGAGTTGCCATGGTGACACGTCAAAAATCTGTCTTTGCCAGTGGGACATCCTCACACAAACTTTGCCTTTGCCCAAACCAAATTTGGTAGCCAGATGCATCATGGCAATAAGAACACAAATGTATATTGTGACCACGCCCCTTTACAAACCAGAAGTCCACCATCTTGGATTTTATTTTTTATTTTTTTAAACACCTGCAAAAATTTTGAAAAATGGCAGGGTTAGGTTATGAGTTAGGGTTGTGGTGTAGCGTTTGCGGGGCGTGGCGTTTGCACTCCATTGAGTGCACTGACCTGGCCCAGGACATGGATCTCTCCTCAGGCTGACTCTCAGGGAGGTGGTCCCCGGCGAAGCTGTACACCTGCAGCCTGTAGGAGCGTGGGTGGCCCCAGCGGTTGGTCTGGTTACTGGAGATGTGCAGGTACCGTGGAGTCTTCGAGCCGTGACGCAGAGCAGCCTCCTGTGAAGAGGTAGCACGAGTCAGTACTACATGAGGAAAGAAAACTGGACATATTTTAAAGGAATATTTTGTTCAATGAAAACCACAATGTTCATCTAGAAGAGAAACAGGTTTCAGTTTCTTCTCCACTGTGCTTACGTATTGGGTCAGTCCAGATGAAATCAGCTGCCCTCTGCTATGAGCGACCTCAGATTTGATTGAAAGTAATGTGAAAAAATTCTTAAATTACCAAATGAAAGAATCTCAAATTTTTTGCTCAATCCCTTGAGTCGTTCCTGAGTTATGGCCTGTTGACATTTTGGGGCCATGCTCACTTTTTTGGAAGCCATCATTTATAAGCATGTTTGAGAGACCAGAACTTCATCAAAAATAGAGCTAGGAAGCTGAAGTTGTATTAATGTAGATTTTGGGTCATAGATTCTAAATCTGTTGTCGGGTATCTTTACCTTTTATCTTTATTTGGTTGCTGCTCATTTATTTTATTTTATTTTTTTCAGTTTTTAAGTTCCAAGATCTGTTTACTCCAAGCAGATATTTACAAACTAACTGTTGAACCTGAATATTTGAGAGAATGACCATTTCTGACAACAATCTCACACTTTTCTGAGCTTTCATGTGGATGGTGTAGAGCAGAGGTGTCAAACCCATTTTGTTCCGGGGGCCGTATCCAACCTATTTTGATCCCAAAGGGGCCGGATCAGAAAACTCATGCCATATAAACCCCAAAAATAAAAATAAGTTCAAATATTTGTGCAGAGAAACACAAATCTATTACAGAAATCTTTTTAAATTGATGAACTCTTTCTTTTACAAAATATTATAATATTATGAACAACCTGAAACTTTAAGAAAAATACAATTTCAACACAAAGTTTTAACCTGAATTTGTATGTAAACAGGAATAAGTCAATTTTTCTTGGAAAATCCTGCACTCGGCTCCACTTTTCTCATGTTGGACATTTTTCTGATGAGGGTGTCACGGTCAACAGTCAAAACGATCGTCCTTTAAGAGCGTTTGGAAAGAGACAAGTCTTCATTTGTGCTGCTCTGGTGGGAGGGGCCACGTACAGAGACGCTGGAGACCAAATTACCAATATTTTAATAGAAAATATAATGAAAATATTTTAGTAGAAAATCAGCCGAGGGCCAGATTAAAGGTCTTGGAGGGCCGGATCTGGCCCCCGGGACGTATGTTTGACACCTGTGGTGTAGAGTCTCAAATCTGGTCACAGACCAAATGTGATCTTTTTGGCTCCTTCTCTGGAGCCTTGGTTCCCCATGTTCCCCCAGTTAGATGTTGATCAAATTTTTTACCAAAGAAACTTTGGCATATTCTGATTAGTTTAAAGTAATAAAAACATCTACTATTAACTTCCTTAATTTCAAACAGAATTTTTGGTGGAGCTTAAGTACTTTTTCACCTGCTGGAAAAGTATAAAAAATTATAAAATTATAAAAAATTATAAAATTGAGCAGCAATCAAATTTGAGATTTTGGTTACCCCCCCTATAAAGATAAAAGATAAAGATACCCAACATAGATTCAGAATCTCTGACCCAAAATCTACAATACAATAAAATACAAATTTTCTGCTTCCTAGCTCTGTTTTTATGAAGTTCTGTTCTCTCAAACGTGATTATAAATGAAGGCTTCCAAAAAAGTTGGCATGGCCCCAAAGTTTCAACGGTCTGTATCAGGAATGACTGAAGGGTTTGAGTTAAAATTTTAGATTCTTTCATTTGGTAGTTTTAGAAATTTTTCAAAAATTTCATCCAAATCTGAGATGGCTCATAAAGGAGATTGCTTGAAATCGTCTGATTTCATATGGACTGAACCTTTTTTGTTTTGTTTCTTTTGTCCTGTCTTTTTAGGCTGCTTCCTAAAATCAGTTAAACACAAATATATTAGTGATATTTTTCTACAAAACAAAAGATTAAGTCTAGTACATTATAATATGTTTCTTAAATAAGTGATTCAATTGAAACCCACAATTTGCATTAGTACTGACTGTAGGAGATTCTACACAACATGAAAATAAAAAATATGTGACAAAGTGGCAGAAGGTTTGGAGATGTTTTGGTTGATGACATTTGAGGCTGGGCAGATAGACACTTGGTGTGCATCCTACTAATAAAACTACTGCACATTACATCAGGTTTGTTAAGTTGCTGTGTAGAGTTTTGTATCATGTTCTTTTCATAGTTAGGATAAATGGCTGTACATGTACCTGTTCAGTGTGCACAGTCTTCTCCACCAGGTGAGGGACCATGGCGTGATGCTCGGGTATCCAGGGCAGAGATATGTTCTTGTACTCCATGTCTTTGGTCTGGAACATGTTCTTCACTCCTGGAACATGAATGTGTAGTAGTTTCATAGTGAGTGATTACATCATGAGTATGTAAAGGAAATTAAAATATTGTATAATTATTTTATCTTTAGGAACACATTTGGTCTTGTGACTAAAACTCATTTAGTTGGGTAGTTAAAAGTTAGAAAGACCCTTCAGTGTAAATGCTTTTGTTCCCTTTTTCTTTCTAATCTTATCAGGAAGTGATCAAGGCAGGTGAATATGGATGCAAATCAGATCAAGCAGTTGGCTTTCAGGCCTCTTTCTCTCCTATTGTTTTAACTCCACATGTGACATCCTGCTCAGGAAGGCCAACAGGAACACATCTGCTCACACCTCAGTAGGAGTCGTCACCTTCTCACTTTGAAATGTATGTCCTCTGGTCTTCTCAATCTACATAAAATTGGTGCTTGTATCATTCGGGGTCTGACGTCGCGGGAAAGAAGAAATAAACTCTGCGTCTTTGCTTCAACATTCAACAGTCTCTACAAACGGAGTCTTCTTCCACAACAAGTACAATTGTCCCCATTTTGTGGCTTCTCAGACCTCATCAGTATAACGCCACCCTCTCACTCCAGACAAGGCTGGTGATGGAATGATCACATCATTTGCCAGTGTTTTCTCATCCAATGTTTGTTTTTTCATTTGTTTTTTGTTTTTTTTTTCCATTTTATCCATCCCAGTGTTTTAAATCCACAGCCAGCAAGGTCCACAGACTGAAGCAAAGTTGTTGTATGATTACGAATATTTAGTGAAATCAATAACAAAATTGCACTATGAGAATATTCTGTACTATAATTTAAACCATACACATTCAGGTTCCTTCTGTTTGCATTGTTACTCACAAGAGTGATGCTCTGAGGGAAAAGTAGGAATTTCACACACACACGCGCACAAATTGACAATATATTGGAACATGTTTTCAATAACTGTAAAATAAGAATAAATAAATAAATAAATAAATAAATAAAAATAAATAAATAATCATAATCATAAAACACTGATATTTGCTGAACAAACTAATCACAGAGAAATGACGATGAGTTTAAATGGTTCAAACTGAGAGTGGAAGTGTATTTACCCTTTGGAATGATGCATAAACTAAAAAAACATTCCACTACAATAATAATAATCATAAAAAAAAGTATTATTATGATGTCGAATATGTTATGTAGGGATTATTCTTCAATATAAGATATCATTTTACGCAACAAGAGCCAGGTCCAACCATTCACATTAAGGAAGTGTTGAAAAGAGCTGAGTCACTCATGGACGTCACATGACCCAAGTCAGACCAATTATTTGTACGAACTCATATACACAATATCTGTTTGGTGCATTTCAAACTACTTGAATAAATTTGATCACCGGTTTACAGGTCACCAACAAGATGTTGTGTATATATCATATATTTTCTATTTGCTCCCCTCCAAAATCTGATTGACTTCTGCTGCTCTTATGTTCATCATGTACTGTGTGTTATGTTGTGTGTGTTTTCACATGTTACTGCGCTCTGTGGAGTGCGTGCGTATGTACTCAAGTTCAACTCATCTCCAGTGTCTTTTCAATGCTGTGATCTGCTGGAGTGGAAGACTTAAGAAGAGGCACGCTGTGTGGCTGGATACACTGGTGAGGAAGGCAGGATGTGTGGTGGAGCAGAGCTCGACTCACTCACATCTGTGGCTGAAAAGGGCCTTATCTGTTTTTCCATCTAACTGTCTCTCTAGGAGCCATCTGAGAGACATCAGTTGATCAAAGAACTCAGACTCACCTGCACACACTAACCCAGACAAACCTGCACACACTGACCCAGACTCACACTGACCCAGACTGACCAGACTCACCTGCGCACACTGACCCAGACTCCACAGACCCAGACTCACCTGCACACTGACCCAGACTCACCTGCGCACACTGACCCAGACTCACCTGCGCACACTGACCCAGACTCACACAGACCCAGACTCACCTGCACACACAGACCCAGACTCACCTGCGCACACTGACCCAGACTCACCTGCCCACACAGACCCAGACTCACCTGCACACACTGACCCAGACTCACACAGACCCAGACTCACCTGCACACACAGACCCAGACTCACCTGCACACACAGACCCAGACTCACCTGCACACACTGACCCAGACTCACCTGCACACACAGACCCAGACTCACCTGCACACACTGACCCAGACTCACCTGCCCACACAGACCCAGACTCACACAGACCCAGACTCACCTGCACTCACACAGACCCAGACTCACCACAGACCCAGACTCACACAGACCCCAGACTCACCTGCACACACTGACCCAGACTCACACAGACCCAGACTCACCTGCACACACAGACCCAGACTCACCTGCACACACTGACCCAGACTCACCTGCCCACACAGACCCAGACTCACCTGCACACACTGACCCAGACTCACCTGCACACACTGACCCAGACTCACCTGCACACACTGACCCAGACTCACCTGCACACTGACCCAGACTCACCTGCACACACTGACCCAGACTCACCTGCTCACTGACCCAGACACTGCTCACACCCAGACTCACCTGCACACACTGACCCAGACTCACCTGCACACACTGACCCAGACTCACACAGACCCAGACTCACCTGCGCACACTGACCCTGACTCACCTGCACACACTGACCCAGACTCACACAGACCCAGACTCACCTGCGCACACTGACCCAGACTCACACTAACCCAGACTCACCTGCGCACACTGACCCAGACTCACCTGCCCACACTGACCCTGACTCACCTGCGCACACTGACCCAGACTCACCTGCCCACACTGACCCAGACTCACACAGACCCAGACTCACCTGCACACACAGACCCAGACTCACCTGCGCACACAGACCCAGACTCACCTGCGCACACTGACCCAGACTCACACTAACCCAGACTCACCTGCGCACACTGACCCAGACTCACACTAGACCCAGACTCACCTGCGCACACTGACCCAGACTCACCTGCCCACACAGACCCAGACTCACCTGCGCACACTGACCCAGACTCACACTAACCCAGACTCACCTGCGCACACTGACCCAGACTCACACTAACCCAGACTCACCTGCGCACACTAACCAGACTCACCTGCGCACACTAACCCAGACTCACCTGCGCACACTGACCCAGACTCACCTGCGCACACTGACCCAGACTCACCTGCGCACACTGACCCAGACTCACCTGCGCACACTGACCCAGACTCACCTGCGCACACTGACCCAGACTCACCTGCGCACACTGACCCAGACTCACCTGCGCACACTGACCCAGACTCACCTGCGCACACTGACCTCCACTCACCTGCGCACACAGACCAAAGCTATGCTGTGCAGACTGAGGCAGGAGAAGTGTGGCTGAGTTTGATGTCGCTCTAGTTTGCTTGATCAGGAGATGGAAAAGCAACTTTTGCCATAACATTGACTTGACACTGACTTTTTTGGTGACTTCACTGAGAGTAGAACAGGAGCTCCCCCTTTCCCTAAAGTGTTTTACACAAGTGGTTTATTCATTAACCCAGAGACAGATGGAATAATATATGGACTTAACATGTTGATTTAAATGTTGTGTTATGTTTGGTGCACATATTTTTTTGTAAGATGCTAGTCCCCTTGATGGCATCCTAAACTAGATTTGATTGATGAATAAATAATTAGGCCACTGGAGGCAGGAAACACTCAGTTTTATACATTTTGAATACAAAACTGCACATTTTTTATTCACTCCACATACACAGTTAAGGAGCAAAGATTGGATTTAGTGTTTACTTCCACTTTAATACTGTGCATGAAAAGTTAACATATTTTACTCTTGCACTACTACTAATAACCCCTGTCTTTAAAAATGGTCATTCCCTCGATGGAATAAGGCACTTATTAATAGCATCAATCACATTGTAATGACATTGACACTAAAAGGGAGAGCTCCAGGACTGGCTTTCCCTGAGGAGCCACCACAAAATCCAGTGCCTGACCACTACTGTTCCAGTAGACAAAGAGATGTGATCCGCATGCTTTTTGATCCAATTCCAAGCACTAAACTTTAACCACAGACTGTGAAGATCGACCTAAGGTAACTGAAACCAGAGGACGACACGAGCCAGTTTCTGCACTCGAGAGTGTGACTGTTGCGTTCACACTTGTCCAAGCACCACTCTCAGATTAAAAACTCTTTTACATGCACCTGACTTGTGTCAGTGTGAAAACAGTCTACCCTTATTGAGCAGAATATCTGAGAGTTCTAGATAGACACTTTCAACAGTTTTTGAATCCCACCATGGGGCAATTGAGCATCTTTTCTCCAGATCTCCAGATCAACTCATGGATTATTATGGTAAATTATGAACAACAAAGGTGTTGTGAGGTAAGCCACGCCCCTAAAGCATGTCAGGCACTATTGTAATTTCAACAGGTAACTATAGTCACAAAGTAACGTGAGTAAAGTGAGAGTCTCACCTGCAACGTCCAGGTCCACTTTGAAGTTGATGAAGTGCGTGTGTATGTTCCCGAGCACGTTTGGCGCCACCTGGTGCCCGTGTTTGAGATTGCCCGGGACGAGGAAAGACGAGGAGATGTATCCTGTCGCGTGCACCTTGGCCTCCACTGCGCCGGTCTGGTAGAAAATAAAATCCCACATATAATCATAATTTCCGATGGCGGTGATGGTCCTGAAGACGAGCGCACTGTTCGCCATTCCGCCGTAACTGTTGTGGAAGAAGTCCGCAAAGTGTCTGCGCAGAGGCTGGCCCAGGTACAGCTCAAAGATACAGATGGAGTTCCGAAAGCGCATGGGCTGTGACACGTCTATGTACCTGTACGTGTCCACGTACGTAGCCTCATATGGACAGTCCACGCCGCGCACGAGCTCATGCGCAAAACGCCCGATGCCGATACTGGAATCCAGGAACTTGGTCATACCCAGCCCCGGTGTCACTGAGCCGTACACGGACATGGCCTCCTGCACGCTCAGCTCATAAAGGATGCGCTCGTTTCTGAAGCGCACGTCGAACACGCGCATGCCAGTGAGCGAGCTGAGCCCGAAGGCAAAGCTCCAGTCCATGTACAG